GCATGCGCTGGCACAGGCGTATTTTCAGGGGTGAAAGAAAGGAAACAATTTGTATCAACATTCGATAACGTACACAGAATTGTCATTTTTATATTAAAAGTCTTTTTTATAAATTTAGCAATAAATATTTGTATTAAATAAAACATGGCTGAATTTCAAAATATGCCGGATGGTGGTAACTATTGATTTAATATAATAAAAAAAAAGCTAGCATATTTAAGAAAAATATAATTAAATGTTTAATGTATGAACAAACATAGAAATTTTCATATTTTTTCCTTTTATAATTTATATTTAAAGATGATTTGAATTCAGAATCTGTGGAGGTGTTACGTGCACGTCTAAATACAATGAAAAAATTAATGGCCGAACGCACTGCCCAACAACAACAAAATCCTGCTACCACGGAAGAAATTTGGTCCACGAAGCGTCACACCACAGGCATCATTGATGGGAACTTTCTCAGTTTCGCATTTGCTGGTGCTTTAATGGTTATAATAACGGTTTCCATATATGCCTTTTATAATTTATACCACGCAATACTTAAAAAATTTCCATCGCATCACGAGGAACTTTAATTACATACATTGATATTGTACGTTTAAATTCGAAATAGACTTGAATATAAAATCGCTGTAGACAAATTTTGATTAAATTGTTTTTAAGTCGACATATAATCCTAAGTTTTAATAAACGGTTTTCTAAAGTGAAATCAATTTCGAGTATATAACATGAATATATATATATATGTATGTATACATAAAGCAATAACGAAAAATACAATTCATTAAACATATTGTTTGTTGTTGTATTATTGTACTTATTTTTCATCATGGGAGAGTGCTGTTGGCAATATACGTATACAATATAATTTAAATTTTATTAAAATTTAACTATAGAGAAATAAAAAAATTCATATAATTTTGGAGTTACATAAAAATTTCATAAAAATAGATTTTCAATCTATTAGTAACATAATTTGAACAGCAATATTGATTTAATATTTTAAATTCAATCTTTAGTTACCTCTTAGATGTGGGCACTTTTACTCTTTGATAGCTGGGGAGTTTCTGCAGAGTCCCACCGATCTCACTGACTAATTAAGTATTCCTCATAATCTTTGTGATTATTCAGTGACTGCTCTAAGATGTGCGCACCATGCGGTTAGTGATTTCTCTGAGATTAGATAGTATTAAGTAGGACAGTCTGTCGGTTTTCGCATATAGCTTCAGAGCTCTGTCCCTTATGTATTTTTTGACCAAATCTATTTTAAGAGCTCTTAGCATGTCATTCGTGCGGATCTACCATGGCACTTTGAAGAGCCTTCGAAGAGCCTGACTTTGATCAACTTTTAGTTTCTGGATAGAAGAGTCGGCAGCTTTGCTATACGCGACTTTGACTTGTATGTGCCTGTGCCAAATGAACCGCTTATTAAACGTGATTCCTACGTATTTAATGCTGTCATCCCTAATAATCATGATGTCACCAACTCTCGCTCTCGGTAAATGTTGCCTGTGTTTACGAGTAATAAATAGGGCCTTAATTTTTTGCATTGTTAATTTTTATTTTCCATTGAGATTAACATGCTCCTGTTAATCATCCATTGAGAATGAGATTAACATGCTCCTGCAGCATGTTGGTCACATATCTGGCCTGTTTATAGGAATATAACGGGCAATTATCATCTGAGTATGTTATAAGGATAGCACCGAGAGACTTATTATAGCATTGGTATGTCTGACGTGATGATGTTGTACAACAAGGGGGAGAGTGGAGATCCTTGAGGAACACGGCTTCTATTCTTTGCACTGACGAGATGGTACTGTTGATTCTTACACAGAAGAACCTCTCGCGCAGGAAGCTGCCGAGAATTTTGATTAGTTCGACTGGGATATCAAAACGAGACATTTTAACTATCAGGCCGTCGTTCCAGACCATGTCAAATGCTTCGGCGATGTCAAATGTAGTCGTACCCGTTGATTCTCTTCTACTTAGGGCTGACTGTGTCATCTGAGCCGGTCGCACCAGTTGCAATTCTGTGTAAAGGTGTTCCCTAAAACCAAGTTGCTCGTCAGGGAGAATATTCAGCGAGTTTACTGAAGTTTTAAGCCTGTCTAGAATCACTCTTTCAGCCAAGTTACCCAGAGCTGACAGTAAGCTTATGGGGTGCCAAGTATACGGATATTTCGGGTCCTTGCCGGGTTTAGGGAAGACTACAACTGTGGCCTGTGTCTAGATCTTAGGATATTCGCTTAGCCTAAACATGCAGTTGATTATATTTGCGATGTGATGGATCGCATCTTCCGGTAGGTTACGTAAGCATCTGTTACTAATTTTGTTGTACCCTAGTGCAGATCTTATATTCAATCTTGGGATGATTAGGGCGATTTCATCACTAGAGCAAAGCGTGATGTCTTCATCAGGCTCTTAGTCCGGGATATTGCAAGCCTTCTCGGTGATTGTGGGGTTGTGTGTTATATATTAGAGGTGGAGTACTATCGATAGCACTATCGCCACTATCGATGGTTTACCGCTATCAGTCCGACATCGATGGCAGTGCCAGAATATCGATAGTCTAAGATAGTTTGTCACAGCAACGCTTCACAAAAAAAGCACAATTTTTGGCATCTGTAGCTTGCCACGGCGTAAAGTGAATTTTAAATTTTGAGCGCATGTTCAGTATAGCTGGACAAGTAGTTTCAGACTCTACTCGACTGAAAGAAAAAAACATCAATATGATGCTATTTTTAAACAAAAATCTTTGGTTTCTAAAAAAGCAATATTGTCGAAAAAAGGAAATAAAATTTATGATTTTTATTTTATTATATTTATGTAAAATATTATCTCCAAAAATTATATGAAATATATCATATTAATTAAATTTTAGTGGAAATTAAAAATAAAAACATGATTTTTTTGAATTGAAATTAACATACTATCGAAAACTATCGAGAGTAATCCATGGTTTAGGAAAAAACTATCGCTCACTATCGATGGTGCCGACTATCGATAGTTCTCCACCTCTATTATATATAAAAGGTTTGTGAAGTTCAAGGAAAAACTAGTTTATATTGGTTCGAACATTTATGAGGATCAATTAGTTTTTGTTTTCATTTTTGTTTTGAAGATGCAGGAAGCAGTAAGATCAAATTGGTACAAAAGACAAACCTAGTTCAGTAATATAAATCATATATTTTATATAATTATAAATTATAATATTATCTATATTGTAGATATGAATAATTCAGAATTAAATTATTGGTACATTTGCTAATTGATTTGTTTTACTTCCTTACCATCAGTTTAAATAACGTAACTAACAGCTGAATTCTCAACTGGGAGCACCATGTTGAGTAAACTTGATTATGACCATTGGACAGAGTAGAGGAACCGTTACTGTTTTGTTTCAACTGGGAGCACCATGTTGAGTAAACTTGATTATGACCATTGGACAGAGTAGAGGAACCGTTACTGTTTTGGAGTGTAATTGTTACGCTAAATAGGTAGAATTACCTAGCTGAGACCACGTGATAATAGATTATTGTTCTTTAAGGATAATTACTTAAGCCTTTAACTAAGGGTGGTACGTTACTTAATATGTGTGTGTTATTAGCAAATCCTAAGAGTTTAAACACTCCATTGCTAGGAAAGAAGTTCAACTCCTCAAGACTGATAGCTCAAAAGAATTTAGTTCGATTTTTCGATAGAGCCGAACAGAAGGTGTGTTACGCCTTGCACCTTGTCAAAACATCAACTAATATTCTGCAGTTCTTTTGGAGAACTGTTAAAGGAGAATACTTGTATGCTTGTAAATAGAATACTTTCTTTCATCTCCAATACGATCCTAACACAATATGAAAATCTTTACTACTTAAAGCGAATAAAATAGGAAAATGTTTATAATTATGTAGAGAAAGAGAATTTTATTTCCTAAGACCACTGATAAAGAGTACTTGGCAATACTCGAAACAGCGTTGTATGGTTAGCCAAATTTCAATAAATTAAATTAATTTTTGTCTTTGTCCTTTCTTTTATGCTATTCGAATCCGTCTAACTTTTAAATAGTTTTTTTCGTCATAAAGACACGCCACTATCGGCAAGAAAAATTTAACAAAAAAAATGTATTCGAAAACGACTTCTCCAACTGGATAGTTATATAAAAATAGAGGGAAACGTGATATGATTGTAGAAGCAATAATATATCAACTAATATAAATATTAAGCATCTATATTGAATTTCTGAACGAATTGAAATTAAGTTGTGGCTTATATATGTTTTCTGTTATAACCAAACGTTTGTGTGGAGTTGTATATGAATACACACCGCTGCTGGAAAAAAAGAATGGCATATGCATGTGTATTAACCAACGTAGTAAATCTTCTTTAGCAAATTAAAGAGGTATAATCATACTCTCGTCTTATTATCTTCTATCCGAAACCGATTTGAGACGTCAAGTTGCTGATATTGTAAATAGGCTTATTATGTACAACATTTTCTACTTCTACTACAAATTTTAAGCGTGATATCTCGAGAACTAGCTATTACATATCAATAAACCGTGTACTGTAATATAGCGTTTACACCGGCCCCATTTGTACAAAATGAGATCTATTGTGCCAGTGTAATCTCATTTGCACATATGATATTTTGTATATAGAAATCAATAATTTGCTCCTCATTTGTTTGATTTGATTTTTGATCCAAATCAGTCATTTGTTTAGAATAGTGAATTCTACAAGAATCCACCGTTATATTGAGCAATATCGGAAATTGTGACTTTTTAAAATTTCTCACATATTACACATATTCTCACATTATACCTTTTATGCTAGAAAGGATTATCGAAATTTGAAATAATAGAAATGAAATAAGTAAATTAATATATATATCATTTATATGTGGACATTAACTGAATGTCTAGGGCTTATTGCTAAATATGAGTTACACTTTCCAACATTGTTAGAATTAACAAAATTGTAGCTAATGAATTGACCGGTTACCAACACTGATGTATGAGGAAATGTAAACGCAAAGAAGATAAACAAAAACAGAGAATTATACAGACAGAAGAGCGGAGGAGCACGTGCTAAGTGAATTTTGAATAATTCTCCATATATTAAATCTTTAAAATTTAATGAAAACATGGGCTTAACAAAACAATATTTGGCCTATAGGCCCGTAGATAGCTTTAATATAATAACGAGCGCTCGTACGAATGTGAACTTTGTTGTTTACAATGGCATTGAAGGGCGCTATGTCCTGACAGGAGCGGCAGAAAATGCTATTGTGTGGGATTTAAGGTGAATGCATGTATAAATTCAGACATTATATATAACATTGAAATATTTTGTGCACAGGTTGGGTGAACGTGTGGCTACCTTTCGGCGTGACAAAATAGAAGTAACAGCATTACGCTCTTCACCAGATAATACGCATATTTCAATTGGCTACGCAGATGGTGTGGTTGAAGTGTTCGATTTAAACTCGCCATTGCAAGCAATTTGTTCACTAGCTGTGCATAAAAGTGCTGTGTCCATTATACGATACGATAATGAAGGAATGCGTTTAGTGTCTGGTGGTTTAGACACTGAATTAGTAGTGGTTGACATAGTCGAACAAGCAGGTAAACAGCGCTTAACTGGACACAATGCTTCCATTACAGACGGTCACTTTCTGCAAGTATTTGGTCAACAAAACATTGTAATAAGCAGTTCGAAAGATACACAGATAAAGTTTTGGAATCTGGACACGCAGTTTTGTTTTAAAACCATTGTAGATAATCGAACTGAAGTGTGGGCTCTTGCATTTGTTGGTACGCTTATGGTAGCTGGTTGCGGTGAAAGTAGCATGAATGTATATCGATTAAAACAACACGATGTAGAATCACAGCCTTTGGAAAGAGCTGTAGAAGGCTTATCAATCGATGATGAAGACACTATTAGTCCTATTTCAGTATCTAATTGTGGTGTTATACAGCGTGCTGGCAAAGGACGTACAGTTAGCTTAGTAACTGATATGAGCGAGCGTGTTATTAGTTGTCACGGTACTAATGATTTAATTGAAAGTTTTTATATTTGTACCGATGATGAAGCTAAAAAGCGTTTGGCTAAACGTTTAAAAAAGGCAAATAAATCAGCAGATAATATACAATCGCAAGAAGTAAGTTTAAGCGATGAAATTAAACGTTTAGAGAGCATTAAAGTAAAGCAAAAAATAAAATCAATTGACGTGATATTGGGTAGTAATAACGAATTACGTGTGGCTGTCAGTTTAGCAAATAACAGTTTACAACTGTATAGTTTGAATGTGCTTTTAAATCAAAAGAAAAATATAAAAGAAAATTATAAACTTCTGCGTTCTCTAACACGTGCTGGACATCAATCCGAGATACGCACAGTTTGTTTTAGTTCAGATTCTTTAGCTATTGGATCTGGTGCGGCAGAATCATTTAAGTTTTGGAATCGAGAGACGATGCAATGTTTACGAACAGTCACTTCAGATTATATACTTTGCGCTACTTTTGTGCCTGGCGATCGCTATGCACTCCTTGGTATGAAAACGGGGAAGCTGTTGATAGTTGATGTAGGTACCGGTGAT